GGGGACCTCTATGATATTTTTGCTTTTCTTTTACCGAAATCTTTTTTTTTTTTTTTTTTTCATTCGAGCTCAAATAAAATATTTTCTTGACAGAAGCACCATTGTCGTTTACTTTTATCACCTTCTCAACAGATCCTCTCTCTAGTCTCACCCTACCCCCACATCCCACCCCATACCGAGTTTTCCTTTGAATTCCAATCACAACAAGAATTCAAAGTAAACTCCCTCACCTATAAATACATATATTATAAGAAAATGTTTTCAAAGCATTGAACTAGAGCGTTTCTAAATAGAAGAATTTGTGTGTTCTGGGACTGGGAGGAGAAGAATCGTGAAGGGGTAATATAACAAGATTTTTCTTAAATAAAACCCATATGGGAATTTGTACTTCCAAACCCAAATCCTTAAAGGAAAGTAATTTTCACGGATCAGGTGTTATTCCGACCCAGAATAAGGACAACCCTGTTCCGGCTGGGGATAATAATGTCAACGGTAATATCGAAGAAATTTCCAGCAATTTTGATGAGAAAAAAGAGGATTTGGAGGTAGGTAAGAAATCGCCGTTCTTTTCTTTTTACAGCCCGAGCCCAGCTTATTTTTTCTCGAAGAAGTCTCCGTTGAGATCCCCGGCGCCGGGGAATGGGACACCGAGGAGAATTTTTAAAGGAAAATTTCCACCGCCGTCTCCGGCAAAGCACATTCGGGCACTGCTAGCAAAGCGGCATGGGACGGTGAAGCCGAATGAGGCGACGATTCCGGAGGGGAAAGAGGTGGAAGCGGGGGCAGGTTTGGATAAGAGTTTTGGGTTTTCGAAGAATTTCTATAACAAGTATGAGGTGGGAGAGGAAGTGGGTAGAGGCCATTTTGGATATACTTGTAGGGCCAAGTTCAAGAAGGGGGAGCTTACAGGACAGGAGGTTGCTGTTAAGGTCATTCCAAAAGCAAAGGTTTGGATTTTTCTCCATTTCTTTTCAAATTTTGCTTACTGTTTAGTGTTACTGAATTTAGTATTTATTTGTATTTGATCTATGCGATTTTTGCTTCTTTTGGGGCAAGTTAATGGATTTGGGAGATCTGATCTGCAGGAAATAGATCAATTTTTTTTGTGAATATGGGTCAAAAAAATCAAATATTTTATTTCATCTATTCAAAATTTCCAATTTGAATTGATTTTTCAAGTACAAGAAATGTCTGTTACATGTTTGTTACAGTGATTCATTAAGTTTGAAAAGGTCTATGATTTTTCCCTTGAAGTCTTGTGGATTTAAAATGGGGGTGTGAGCGAACCCATGTGAGTTTTATTGGTTAATACTACCTATCAAAAAAGAAAAAAAGGTTTTATTGGTTAATACTGCAGCAGTTTAAAATGTGATCTTGTATTTGGGGACGGTGGTTCTTGTGGAAAGGAATCAACCTCCTATTGCTGCTAATGGTTGAGGATCAGATCTAGCATTAGTTTCGGAGGTTGAATATGTGGTTGGCGCTTGGATCAAAGACTCTGGACAATATCTGTTATGTTGTTGTTCCAGTAGCTTCTTGGTCTAGCGGCTGTAGATGAATAATTCTAAACTGAATGCTTGCAGATAGAAGTAAAGAAGGAAATGCTTTTTACCTTCTTTATGCAATCTTGCGGGTGTTCTTTGTTTTAAGACAATGGAAGCTTGAAACTTCATGAGTGTCCCTTAGATTATTGAAAATAACAGGTTCTTTGTGTCAAGATTTTATATCTTTCACTTCTTGTGGTAATAAAAAGAGTTATTGCAATAAAAGTTTCTGAAGGCCCTGATTCAGAGGCACATTTAGTGGACCAAAAAAATGATTAGGAACACAGGCAGGTAATGCTGGGAGAAACTAGTATATTTGCTCTGTGGGGTATGTCTCTAGTTCCCTTGTTGCAGAACGGGTACCCATTTACGTGTCAACCTTACCTGAGGAAAATTTTTGGTGATGGATTATAGGAAACAATTGGGGATGTGCCTCTAATTGATGAACATATAGTTCATAGTTCATTCGGGTGTCAATGTATATTTCCAAATAGGTTAGGATACTTAAGATGTATGAATAGAATGCAAAGCTGCCTATTGTGATTAGGATTCATTAATTCATTTTAACTCTCATCTAAAATCGTGTTTGATATGGCAGTACTGGGGTATGAAAAATATTGCAATAGATGGCAGTAATGTGATTCTCAGCTATATAAGAATATGGGGTATGTGGTCGGCTCAAGTTTTCGGTAGTTAGTACCATATGAAAGATAATTTGTCATCAAGTTTTTGTTCAAATTTTAGGACTCTTTTCAGGTTTTTTGGGCTCTTATGTAGTATCTGTCTCTAATTGTGATTATCTCTCATGTACAGATGACCACAGCTATAGCTATTGAAGATGTAAGAAAGGAGGTGAAAATATTGCGAGCATTGACTGGACATGACAATCTAATAAAATTTTATGATGCATATGAGGACCACGATAATGTCTACATAGTGATGGAGTAAGCTTTGATTGCTTAGTTTTAATCCTGTCTTATATTCTTCAATTACTAAAAAATGGTAAATGCCACACCGACATGGGTTGGATGGTATACAAGTTGTCAGATTAGTGCAAATTTGCTTGATTTTTTATTATTATTATTTTTAAATTATATTCTGCGATTTTTTTAAAAAAAAAATTATATTCTGCGAAAAATTTCAAATTATCATTTTGAAATTTACGGAGTTATAAGCTTTTCTTTAGTTATTCTACTGACCTTTCTTCTTGTTTCTAATAAAAATTCTTTCTCAGGTTATGTGAAGGAGGGGAGCTTTTGGATAGAATACTTTCAAGGCATGTGTTTGGTTTTGGTGATACATGCTTTTTATTTTTAGTTTTAAATGTTTTGAATCAGATAATGTTGGTGAAAACATCAAATACATGTTCCAGCAGTCAATAGAAACTAGAAAATCAAATGTCGTCTCTTTGCAGCAGGGGTGGGAAGTACACAGAAGATGATGCGAAGACCGTGATTATACAGATTCTGAATGCTGTTGCATTCTGCCATCTTCAGGGGGTGGTGCACCGGGATCTTAAACCAGAGGTAGGATTTATAAGGAGATACTTTTAGTTCTAAAGGCTTATTAGTTTTTTACTTGGCTCAAAAGGTAAACTGTTTATCTATTATTAGACGTTCAAGCATGAACTATTTCATGGGAAAAGAAGACACTTTATATGCACTATTAGTAATTAAAATAGTTGAAGTCTTCTTATTACCAATAAGGGGTGCAGATGGTAAATGATGGAGAGAGAAGATAATTTGCTGTAGGTTTTTGCTATTTTGCTGATTAATATCAATTGGAAATTAGTATTATGTATTTGTTTTCTTATGTTAGATTTGCAACTGTTGTTCATTTTATACCATATTCTTGCCTAACTGTAGCTTGTTGCTGGATCAGAATTTCTTGTTTACATCCAAGGATGAAAACTCACAGTTGAAGGCGATAGACTTTGGGTTATCAGATTTTGTGAAACCAGGTTTGTCCTCCTCTATTTATATATTCAATGTTTGGAATGCACTATTGGACAATGACTGGATGGTACAATGAACAAGATTTTCCTCTTTTTTTTGAAAGCATAATGAACAAGATTTTAGGTTCTTCCTCTTCTTCGTACAGTCAAGTCTTGTCCAATCCTTGCTACCAAACCTGCTAAGTGTTGATAATTGCTCAAGGCAGTCATTGACATAGCTAAACAATATCATTCTAAATTTTTTGCAGATGAAAGACTTAATGACATTGTTGGCAGTGCATATTATGTAGCACCCGAAGTGCTACACAGAGCATACAGTACGGAGGCTGATGTTTGGAGTATTGGTGTTATAGCATATATATTATTATGTGGAAGCCGCCCATTTTGGGCTCGAACTGAGTCTGGGATCTTCCGTGCCGTCGTAAAGGCAGAACCTTCTTATGAAGAACAACCTTGGCCTACTTTGTCGCCAGAGGCAAAAGACTTTGTCAAACGCCTACTTAATAAGGACCCCCGGAAAAGAATGACTGCAGCTCAAGCCATGTGTTGAGTATCTTATCTTGCACAAATCATATGTATATTTCATTAAGATTTTTGAAAGGTTACTTAAAAAAGTTTTCTGCTACAGGTCATCCATGGATAAAAAATAGTAATGATTACAAAGTGCCTTTGGATATACTAGTATTCAAACTTATGAAAGCTTATATGCGTTCATCTCCACTCCGGAAAGCTGCATTAAGGGTGAGTATTTGTTATAGAAAAATACCACTGCCACATTTTCTTAATGATATTCCATGAAGACAATTGACTTCAAGTAGTGCAACCATACCATATAAGTTGATATCTTCTGTGTAAATCGAATAATCCACCCCACTTCTGCTCTTATTCTAGTACACGATTATCCTTTTCAAAAGGTCCCCATCTGTAATTATCATTTTATATATGGACTTCAGCATCCTTTTCATCCAAGGCAAAATATCTCTCTGCATCAAAGTACGTGGAGTTCTTCTCTTGGAGTATTAGATCTAGAACTGTGAGTATGGGGAGGGGGAAGTATCTTTCATAAGCCCCCTCTTGCACGTCCAGATCTGTATCTGCTTGGACTAGTTTAGGTTTATTAGCCATTGAACAAACTGTCCTTTTCTTTACTCTGTGCCTGTACGTCCAGAGAAAACTTCTATGGTTCATTCGGTAAGGAGGATTGGATAGAAAAAGATAGTGTTAAAATAGAAAAATAAACCATATATGACTAATGATGTTGATGACGAACAAATATTGACATTCGGGGTAGGTTATTATGGAATTCTAGAACTTGTCAAGTACATGATTACAGTGAAAAGAAACCATGTATAATTTGTTCTGGGAACATCTAAGATAATCATAACTTTCTTTTATTATGCACTTGGAAGATCCTGGAAGATTGGTAGCTACTGCTTGCCTTGAAAATGATGGCAGAATTTGTCCTCAGATTGCAATTCACAGCATTTCATTTCTCTCTTGTTTCTTCATATTAGAGATACTTTTAACTTTTGAGAACGTATAATTTTTTTACCACTCTTATGGCTTATGTATTAATTTCTCTGCTTGGACTTTGCAGGCTATATCCAAAACGTTGACTGTAGACGAGCTATTCTATTTAAAGGAACAATTTGCACTTATGGAACCAAACAAAAACGGTGCCATAAGCTTAGATAATATCAAAGCGGTTTGTGTTCTTTAGATTCTTATAATCTTTTACTAATCATAATTTCATACGTGGTCTCAATTTCGGTTACTCTCTCAGGCCTTGACGAAGAATGCGACTGATGCCATGAAAGAGTCACACGTCTACGACTACCTTGATTCGGTATGTTTCTGACTATTGTGATCATGTTTGATTAGGCTTAAGACGAGTACTTAAAAAAAGTCAATTAGCAAGTTTCAGAATAAATAATTTCTTCAATTGATCGAAATTGATATAACAGTAAGGTGAGAGTAGTTTTATAATTAATTTTTTTTTTGCTTAAAATGTAATTTATCCATACATGTTTGGAAATGAAAAACAATTTATTACTTGTTTTGGAGCTTAGCCAAACATGCTTGTCTGTGCATAATCAGTCTTAGTTTTTGTTCTCTTGGATCTTCTGGTGCTAATTGATTTTCGCCTGTGTCTTGGCAGCTTAATGCTCTTCAGTACAGAAGGATGGATTTTGAAGAATTCTGTGCTTCTGCATTAAGTATCCATCAGCTTGAAGCTCTTGAGCGGTGGGAGCAACATGCTCGTTGTGCCTATGAACTCTTCGAGAAGGAAGGAAACCGGACTATCATGATTGAGGAATTGGCTTCGGTATTTAGTTTCTTTTACGAGTTCTATCGAGTTATTTTTTCCCTCTGCTTGTGATCGAATCATTAGAAGCCATAAGTTCTAGAAACCATAAATCTGATTTTCAGAATTTTGCGTTGTTCCAGGAGCTTGGTTTGAGCCCATCTGTCCCCGTGCATGCTGTTCTCCACGACTGGATTAGACACACGGATGGAAAGCTTAGTTTTCTTGGATTTGTAAAGCTGTTGCACGGTGTTTCCAGCCGATCTCTAGTGAAAATGCAATGACAACTTCGACGCCTATCTAAACCAGACTTTACTTCATGCCTGACAAGCTACCGGGAATTAGAAAAGGCGGGATAAGATGCCATCAAAATTCTTTTCTTGAAGATTTGCACCTTCTGCAAAATTTATTGGTGCCGTGTGATTTTCGCTGATATGAGGTTCAAGCGTCGGGCTGTTAGCTCCCTCTTTGATGTTGGACGACCTGAATGGGTCTATGACCCTCGTGCTCTTCAATAATGGCATCAGATCACCTACATTACGACCGTGAAGCTCTAATTGGATGTGTAATTGGAAGTGAAATTATTTGTTGGCTGGTTATGGGACTTTCTTACCTTGAATCTTCTTGACATATTGGACAACCTTGACGTCTTCCACTGCGTTGTATCTTCATCTGTTCTGTACGCTAGAAAATCCATTGATTTTTTGAGCATTTCTACATTTTATCTTCTTGTTGGCTTCTATACCAGATCTGAAAGAATCGGTCACAGTAATGTTATCATGGTCTGAATATAAGTGGCGTGCCTCTGGATTAAACTCGCTCAACTTCTAGGTTTCGTCTAAATAACCTCAAGTTGGCTTCAAGACCATTAAAAAGCTGGCTTAAGCATTGGAGTCCAAGAGAGGAGGAGTGAAAAAGAAATGCTCTAAGTGCAAAACGAATTAGAACTGTTGATTCGTGTCTACGTGAATTTGTTAACATTTGTCAATTTTAAACTGAACCAAGATTGAAAAAAAATAAAATAAAATAAAATAATAATAATAATAATAATAATAATAATAATAATAATTTACTTGTGCCTTCAAGATATGTGATAAGCCCTTTTTTGTTACCCATTATTTTATATTGGACCACATTACTCTTTTTACGGTAATCATTTTTAACCACATTCTTCATTAAAAGAATATTACACGCAAATTAAAAAAATTTCCTACTTTTTAACCATTCTCGATCAATCTACTATTCTATAATACAAATTTCAAAATTAAAGGGGCTCAAACACATCCTTATTAGTTCAATAATTCAATTTATGTTTTTATAAATTTACTTGTCAATTCACTTCTATTGAATCTTTAGGGTTGAACAATGATTTACTACAATATTTTCTTTGTTTATTTCGCAAAGAGCGAATTCGAAAGCTCTGATCTAATAATCTTGTATTGAGACCAATGTAATATTGTTGTAATACTTATATTAAGATTGTTATACATTGAGATGCATTGATATTTTAGATTAATATATTTGTGTTTTTGTTGTAAAAGGTAAGTTTATTAGGATTTAGATGTGAATGACAATTGTACCTCTACAACCTTAGAAATTATTACTATTGTATCTCTGATTTCGCCCTATAAATACAAAGCTTTTGTTCTTAATAAAACACACACAAGCCTATTGACTTATCTCTATTTTTTTCTTTATTCTTCTCTTTTCATAACACGTTATCGACATGAAGAATATAATTTTTCAAAATTTTGTGAAGATAGTAATTTTTTTCCTATTACATGTATCGACATTAATTTAGTAACATGTGAATTTTATTATACATATACATACAACACGGAGTTTACAGAATTTGTGAGAATGAATTCATGCCAGTTTGTGTCGTAACCATAATTTGTCAAAATCTGTTCTTTATTCTCTTCCATAAACCAGGTCCCATAATGATTATTTAAATGAATTATAATGATTACCTTTTTGCATATGGACAAGGAGTCACCTGCACAAGAGTCAATCTATTCATTATATTCTTGTTTCTTCCAAGTAACCAGCTGGATTTTTTATAAATATTTTGATAGCGTGGGTTTCTGTGCAAAACTTTATATATACAATTGCGTACATGTATCATGTTAGCATACATTATATGCTAATTTTTCTGGTGATTGCATATTTGATAATCAGAATGTACGAATAATGGTTAATAATAATTTACCATATGGTGAAGAATAACTTTAAAGCATATATTTAAAAAAAAAAAATTGTAATATATGTTTGGTAATTAATCTTAAAATATAAGTTCATATCCAATCTATTTGGTAATTATTTTTTTCCATTATATCCTATTTGTATGGTAATTAATATTCTTTAACTTGATTAAATATTTGTGTTGTTCTATCAGAAATTTTAAATTAATAATCTATCATGTTGTTGCTCATAAACTAGTACAATATTATAATTAATATTATAGAAGAATATTAATAAAAATTCTATCAATTATAAATAGTTTGTTGATATTTCTGAAGTAGCATAATATTATAATTAATATTCTTGAAGAATATTAAATGCTCCTAAAGAGCATAAATTATATTTTTCAATATTTCAGAAGAATATTGATATATTGCTCTTGAAGAAGTAATAGTTAAAATGCAATGTGCTCTCGAAATAGCACATGTTTCGAAGAACATATTATTTTAGTGTTTATCCGTAAAGGAAAATATGTAATTTATGTCATGTTGATATTATTACTTAATTAACTATTATATGATATTTAATCATATCCTTCAAAACTAATTGTATTTTCTTTATTGTGTAGTTAATCAAATGACAAATACCACGAAACTTGAGTTTGTTGCACTTGATATATGTGGAAAAAATTATCTATCATGAATACTCGATGCTAATATCCATTTTGTCTCAAAATATTTGAGAGAAACAATAAAAGAAGGAAACAAAGAATCTCCAAAGCCTGAGAGATTTGATTATTAGAGGACTATAGTCCTCCCTAAAGCCTGCTATGAGTGGATAAACCTTTGTTTGCAAGACTTCAAAACTGTTAGTGAGTACAGTTCTGAAATGTTCAGAATATATTCAAAATTGACATTGTGTGAAGAAAAATCGCTGATGAAGATGTGTTGGAGAAAACTTTTTCCACCTTTCACGTCGCGAATGTGCTCCTGCAGCAGCGATATCGCAAGCGTCGTTTTCAAAAAGTACTCAAAACTTATATCTTGCCTGCTTGTTATTGAACAGAATAATGAACTGCTGATGAAAAATCATGGATTACGTCCAACTGCTTCCGTACCATTGCCTGAAGTAAATGCAATATTAAGACAAGGAAGTGGGCGTAGAGCTGGATTTGGATGTGGACGCAGACGTGCACGTGGAGTAAACCATGGACGAAATAATCAACAAAGTTATCAACAATAAGGCAACAATTTCAAAAGACACAAAGCAAACGAAAGTAGCACATCTAAAAATGTACACGAAGAAAATTGCTTTAAATGTGGAACGAAAGGACATTAGACACGTACCTATCATACGGAAAACACTTTGTGAATTTCTATTAAAAATCAATCAAGGCAAAGGAAAAAGTGGAGAAAAATTTTGCTAATTATGATGGTCCAATTGATGTGACTCATTTGGATGTCTCTGATTTCTTTGCTGATACAAATGAGAATATTCACCATTTGATTGGGGTGGTGTGATGGAAGATATATATTAGTTTTTTCTATGTTTTTAGTATTTCCCTTTATTTTAGAAATTTAGTTTGAAATATGTTTTTCTTTTCTCAAAAATTTTGAACCTTATTATGCATCGTTAATTTCACAGTTAATTATATTTATTATTTTGAATTTAAATTCAAGTTTTTTTAAATATATCTATTTTGTTATAATGATAGATTCATGATGGATTGTTAATACACCTGCTTGATTGATAGTGCAACTACATATACTATTCTTCAAAACAAAATATTTTCGGACTTAACATTAAAAGAAAATAGTGTTAATACAATATCAAGTGTATCGAATATCGTTGAAGGCTCTGAAAGAGCTTGTATTATTTTTATCTAATAATACAAAATTATATATTGACAATTCATTTTATTCAAACAAATTCGGAAGAAATTTGCTTAGTTTTAATGATATATGTTGCAATGGATATCATATTGAGATAACGCAAGAAATAATATCGAATATCTTTGCATAACTTCTTTGTATCTGGTCAGAAGTAGATAAAAAAATTTCATGCACTACCATCTGACATGTATTATAATGTCACAAACAAGAAGTTCATTGACCCAAAAAGTTTTATATTTTGGTATGATTGACTTGGACATTCAGGAGCTATAATGATGCATCGAATAATAAACAACTCACATGGACATGCTTTAAAGAACCAGAAGATTTTTTTACCAAATGATTATCCGTGTGTAGCTTGTTCGCAAGGCAAGCTAGTCATTAGACATTCGACTACAAAATTCAATATTGAATCTCCAACTTTCATGGCAAGAATTCATGGAGATATATGTGGGCCAATACACCTATTATGTGGACCATTTCGTTATTTTATAGTATTAGTTGATTCTTATATTAGATGGTCACATGTTTGCCTACTTTCCATTAGGAATGTAGCATTTGCTATATTACTTGCTTAAATTATAAAATTACGAGCGCAATTTCCCGATTACTCAATTAAAACTATTCGCCTTAATAATGCTAGTGAATTTAGATCACAAGAATTCAATGATTATTGTATGTCAATTGAGATCGTAATTGAGTATTCAGTTGCGCATGTCCATACACAAAATGGTTTAGTAAAGTTGTTTATTAAACGTATACAACTTATTGCTAGATCATTACTTATGAAAACAAAACTCCCAACTTCTGTTTAGAGTTATGCCATATTACATGCTGCATCATTGGTTTGTATTAAATCAACTGCTTATTATCAATATTCACTTTTGCAATTGGCATTTGATCATGAACTTGATATTTCTAACCTACGAGTTTTTGGTTGTGCGGTCCAAGTCTCTATTTCACCCCTACAATGTACTAAAATAGGTCACCAACGAAGACTTAAGATTTATGTGAGTTTTGATTCACCATCAATTATTAAGTATCTTAAACCTTTAATGAATGATTTATTTACTGTATGTTTTGTAAATTGTCATTTTGATGAAATGACTTTCCCAACTTTAGGAGGGAAAAAACTATATCCCAAAAAACAAGGTAAAACTTCTTGGAAATGAAACAACTCTGTCTCATTTTGATATCTGCAACAATCAATGTCAACAAAAGGTTGAAAAAAAATACTCATTTGCAAAGATTTGTAAATCAATTACTTAATGTATTTGTTGACACAAGAAAAGTGACAAAATTATATATTCTAACAAAAAATATTTCAGCAAAAATTGATGTCCATACAGGACAATCTACTGTGGCAAATGAATCTCAAATACGCTAGAAGCATGGTCGACCAGTTGATTCAAAAGACTCTGTATCTCAAAAAAAAAAGGCACATGAGAAAAACCAACCAAAAATTTTAGAAGAAGTAACATTAGAAAATATTGATCAATCAAATATTGAAAATATGGTTCTCAAAGAACCATAAGTGTCCGAAAATAATAAGATTTCAATAAATTATATATTATCTCATAAATTATGGGAACGAAATAATGTTGTTACAGGTAATATTTTCGCCTTTAATGTGACTTTTAATATTATATAAAATGAGAATCCTGAACTACAGTCAGTTAAAGACTGTCAAAATAAAAATGATTG